AGAGAGAGAGAGAGAGAGAGAGAGAGAGAGAGAGAGAGAGAGAAAGAGAGAGAGAGAAGCAGATAGAAACACAGACTAAAAATTAAGCCTCAAACAGCTGCTGTGAAAATACTCTAAGTTGGTCTGACAGAACCTCAGGACTGTAAGTGTCACAAGCATCTGGTCGTCACACAGGTTAGTTTTTGTAGCTACACTGTTTTAGACAGGAGACATCATGTACAAGTACCCATCATAACAGCTTTACAGGAGCTGCCATCTTGTATTTTAAGAGCCAGTGGCTGTGTCTTATGATGTGTGGCCTTAAGTCTGCCTACTTTCTCCCACATAATCATGGCATTACAAGACTTTTGTTTTCAAGAACACACACACATAAAAAAATCATTACAGCAAAACAGGTTCAAAAATGAATATTAAAACATAAAGCAACAAAGTAAGAAGGACAAGACTTAACAAGATCAGCGGTGCTTTTATTTTGTAACACGGACAAAGTTCTGTTTGTTTACAGACAAACAGTTTGTTTAATTGGTAAGGTGGGACTGGAATCAACTGGTCCTGTTCTGGTTTTTACTTCTGGGTTTGTTCTGAGGTCTACTTATTATTTACAGTTCGTGATGATATGATAGGTTATAAAAACCCTTCACTTCTAGTTTTTAAGAGGAAAAAAATAGAGCTTGTAGAAAACAGTAGTTTGTGGAAGGTTGGGGGTTCACTTCCTGAACTTTTGGAGGATTTAGGATTAAACTGGTCCTCAGTTCTCAAGCTCCTCTCTTGTGGAACCAACTTACAGTTTCTGCCTGTGAGGCTGACACTCTGTCCACTTTTAAAGCTAGACTTAAAACTTTCCTTGATAAAACCTATACTTTGGTTAGGTATACTTAGGTATACTTAGGTATATTGCTTAGGTTTCCTGAGTTCCTTCTTAGATCTGCTGCTGTGGGTTTGGACTGCTGGAGGACAAACTGACCACATTTCCTCCCTCTGCTGCTGTCTTTAGTCACTCTCTTCAACATGTTTCTAATTATTTCAGTCAATTACATTTATTTGTCTCTCTTCCAGAAGAAAATACACCTGGACCAGTCCTTTTATGTTTGTGTCTCTTTTCCTTTCCTCCCAGACCCTGCCAGCTGAAGCATCCAAAGGATTTGTGAATTACATTTTGAATGGCAACATTCAGAACTTAAACAGACAAAGTTTTTGCATCTGAAATATTCTGTGACAAAAATGATTAATTTTATTCTCTGAACATAATTAAGCTCACATTTTTGTGATCCAAGTCAGAAAGTAGCTCAAAGACACATCTGATCTTCCATCCATCCATTTTCTGTACACACTTCTTCCTTTTCAGGGTTGCGTGGGTCACTGGTGCCCATATCCAGCAGTCACAGTGCGAGGGGCGGGGTACACCCTGGACAGGTCGCAAGTCCATCACAGGGTCACACATAGAGACAAACGAGACAAACAACCATTCACTCTCTCACTCACATCTAGGGACAATTTAGAGTTATCAATTAACCTAACAGTCATGTTTTTGGTCTGTGGGAGGAAGCCGGAGTACCCGGGGAGAACCCACGCATGCACGGAGAGAACATGCAAACTACCCAGAAAGGTCCCCGGACCGGGATTTGAACCGGTGACCTTCTTGCTGAGAGGCATCAGCTCTACCAACTGAGCCCACACACGAGTTGCGTAATTTTTCACCTCTCAGGGAAAAAGCTTGGAGGTCTTGTTTCTGTTCACATACAAATAAGCAAAAGAGAGAAGTTTTTCATCTGAATGAAAGAAACTCCTCCAGCCAGAAGCCTTTCACTTCAAAGCAGAAACCTAAGCAGGTCTGATTTAGACTTTCTGCTGCTGCCTTTCTGAGAAAGTCCTGTTTGTTTGACAGTTAAGATGCTGAGAGGTGAGGAGCTTCATAGCTGTTGCTGAAGATTTGGACCTTTTAGGTGAGCAGGATGAGAAAAACAGAATGAACAGAGCAAGACTTCAACCATTCTGCTTTGTGTCGGCTGTGGTACCGTAAACCCTACAGGAAAGAGAAAGCACTGCGGCCACTGTTGGTCTTAAACAGATTCTTTCCACTCCAGAGATGAAACTCAGCACACTGACGTATCAGCTGAAACAGTGTCAAGGAGGCGACAGACTCTTACACCTCTCCAAGTTGCAGGAAGTTGTGACAAGCCTGTTTTCAGCCTTCCACCTGTCAGGTCTGCCAGACACAACCACACTGGTGTTTTCACAATCCAACTGTCGATAATCCGCCTTCATATTTTCTCTTAAACATCTTAACTGTCTGCATTTTATCAGCTTCATCTGAGCTTAAGGTTTGTGTTCCATTGGCTGCCATTTGCATTTATTTATTGAAGGAAATGTATTCTTTTCCATTCAGTGTTCAACGATTTCACATATTTATGCTTGAGATTGTTAGAATATCCCCATTACCAATGTGCAATCAGTTTATTTTCATGCTGTGATTAAGATTGTTGTGAGAACAACTAATTCCTGAGAAATTATTTAGTTACACGCTTTGCTTTGATACAACACAATCAGACATGTTATGTTTGAACATCAGGACTTCCTGGTTAGAAAACTGTGTCAACTCATAAGTGAGGGCATGTTCCCTCCTAAGACTGTCATTTTCAGGATGTGTGACTCAGTTCTGGACACTATTTAAAGCTTCTTGTGTTACAATGAACACAAAAGAAATACAAAATAAGAATTGGTTGGAGAGTGGGCCTTTTTGTTTGCTGATAATACTCAGGGTCACAGACTGGCATACAGAGGCTGTCAGCAATGAAATGGGGTTCAGAAATTTTCCAGGTATCCAAAACAAGAAAGACTATTAAAAGCACTTTAGAATGAGACTTCACACCAGAAAACCACTCTGATTCATCTAGATATTATGACCACTAAGTGTTTTTTTTTTACACATGAACATATAGACTTCATCAGATCTTAAAACATGTGATGTGGCTCCAGATGTCACTAGCTGACCCTTTAGGTCCTGGAAAAAAACATCCAACCATGAATAGAAACCTGAGGCCTCATGGGTCATTTTGACCCGAGGGCAGCAGGATGGTTTATTTTAGAGTGTGGCAGAGTGCATGATTTAGCAGAAAAGGGACACTGCCAGCAGGGAATACTGTTTACATACCTGGTCAGCAACAATGGGGAGGTGAAATATGATGAAGTAGCTTCCATTTTAATGAACTAAGGTTTTCTTTGCAGAACACTGATTACCCTTCACCAGACCCCTGACCCCCATAATGCATGTACATGACCTCAGCAGGTAAGACATGAAGCCATAAAAAAGCACCATGCTAGGTCAGCACAGCCCTGTTACTCCACAGTAAGACCTGGGCCCTTTCTGGGTTCAGCTTCTTCAGGCTCACTGGTTTTTGAATGAATGAATGAATGAATGAATGAATGAATGAATGAATGAATTTGTGTTTGAGTAACTGGTGATTCTAAATTGACAGGTGTGACAGAATCACAGTAAATGAAAAAATCCTTCTGATTGGACAGACTGAAGTTCCGTCAGAGCTCTGTGTTCTGAGCAGCTTTACATCACTGTTCAGGTCAGAAAAATGCAACTCTGTCCAGTTGGGGAAAAAAACATTCAACCATGAGAAAAAAAGGCCACCCTCTTTATAAGTCTAGGTTTGTTTTTATCAAAGAAGAATAAACTTATATGGTCTTTAAAATGATTCACCTGTACACTCAAGTGTAGAAAAACACAGCAGATCATTGAACAATGATGAAGGTAGAAGAAACAGTGTGAAGTCCACCCCACCATCCAGCAGCTTGTAGAACTTTGTTTAACAGTAGAAACTCTTTATCAAATGGTTGTGAAGGACTTTTAGCTCACTCCTCTTTTCAGTCTGTCACTTCATTGATGTTTGCAGACATTTGTTTCTGCACTGCTTTTGACAGGTCCCACCACACGGTTTCAGCCTGGAAGAGGACTTTTACTGGACTGTTGCAATGTTTTTTATTTGACCCATTCTGTTGTAGATCAGTTGCTGTGGTTGAGATCATTGTTCTGTTGGACCCAGTTTGGTCCACTCTTCAGCTGTCAGACATATGAATTCACAGTTGACTCTAAAGTTCTCTGGTCTACAGAAGGTCCACTCAGTGGCTGCAAGGAGCCCAAACCATCATCTCTCCACCAACATGCTGACATCTAGAAGGAGCTGTTTGAGATGGTATGATGTGTTTTTTTTAAAGCGTCAATGTCATGTAAAATCAACTTTTTAGAGTTTTATATCATGTTATAATGTTATACTTTCATAAAAAACATGCTCAAAGCCTTGCTCTGACTCATTCATGCATGTTTGAGAAATCCTGCAGCGTTTTTAGCCATGCTGAGGAGCAAAACGACAGGTGGGGAC